TTTGGTCTTATTTATAGAACATGAATGATCTCAAAGAAGCTGCATCACGAAAGACTCTCATCCCTGGTGGATAGCAGCTCTCCCTGAGCTGCATAGATGGGGTCCAGCAGTCAGCCTTCCACATTCCATGTTCTCTACCAAGTCCCAAGTCCTTGTAAAGCTCTGGGGGATTACAACTGGAGGTGTGCAGAAGAGTTGGGAGAATCATGGTATAATAAATGAGGTATAATAACCTTCCCCATCCATTTTTCCTTATTTATTTATTTGTGGACTAGAGAGATGGCCCAGCAGTTAAGAGTACAGGCTGCTCTTCCAGAAGTTTTTTTTTTTTTTTAGGGTGGGGCTGGGAGGTGGGGGTTTGGGGGTCAGGTTGGGGACAGGGTTTCTTCATGTAGCCCTGGCTGTCCTGGAACTCACTCTGTAGACCAGTAGACCAGCCTGGCCCTGGCCTCATAGAGGTCTGACTGCCTCTACCTCCTAAATGCTGGAATTAAAGATGTGTGCCACCACTGCCTGGCTCTTTCTGGGGTCTTGAGTTCAGTTACCCACATGGTAGATTACAACCATCTGTAACTGTAGTCTTATGGGATCCTATGCTCTCTTCTGGTGTATATACGTGCAGACACACACACATTAATTACATAAATGAATCTTTTTCTTTCCCCCCTCTTATTGAAAATATTTATATAATATATTCTGATGAGTTTTCCCTCCATTTACTCCTCCCCATTCCTCTCTATCTCCACCCCCCTCCAGGTTCACGTTCTGTCTCTCAGAAAAGAACAGGCTTCTAAAACAGCCAAATAGATAGGGCTGGAAAAGGCAACCCAACAGAAGGAAATGAGCTCCAGGAGCAGGAACAAGAATTAGACACCCACTATGCACACACTCAGGAATCCTATTTAAAAACAAACAAATAAAAAAACCTAAGCTGAAAGCTATAATATATATGCAGAGGACCTGGTCTTGACCCATGCAGATACTATGCGTGCTGCTTCAGTCTCTTGTCATTTCATGAGTATAGGCATAAGGTTATTTCATAATTCACATGCCGATTTCTGTACCCCGTATATTGGTTGCAATCCTTGTTCTAAGAGTCTCCTGTCTCAATGTTGTGTAAACACCGCTCCCCAGTTGTCTCCTGATAGCCAATAAAGCAGCTTACAGCCAATCACTGAACAGGGGAGAGAATAGAACTGGACTTCCTGCCAGTCAGGGAAGAAGGATTTAGAGGAGGAAGTAGGAGATTCAGGCACATGAGAGGTCCAGGTGACACCAGGAAAAAGAGCTGGAACAAGGAAAGCTAAAAAGTGCAAGTATTGCTGGGTGTGCACTGAGAGAAGCCAACTTAGCTAAGAGGGTTAAGAATAGAGTAATAACTGCTCAGTTCTTGTGCTGTGAAGCTTGTTAATATAATAAGAGTCTCAATTATTTGATAGCTCATTTGAGAGAAACAGTTTTATAAAAATAACTTTAACTACTACTTAGTTGATTCAGAGGGCCTTGTAATTCTAGTGTTAAGAGATGGCCGGGTGTGCAGTAGTCGGGGAGGCAGAGGCAGGTGGATCTCTGTGAGTTCGAGGCCAGCTGGTCTATGGAGTGATTTCCAGGACCTCCAGAGCTACATAGAGAATCCCAGCCTTAAAATTCTGTTAGATTTTATGTGTTTCAGTGTTTTGCCTGCATGTATGCATCTATATATAACACATCCTTTCCTGGTGTCCATGGAGTCCAAGAGAGGGTTTTGTATTCCTTAACATTGAAGTTACTAATGTGTTTGCTAGGAAGTGAACCCCAATTCTCTGCAAAAGCAGCAAGCACTCTTAAAGAGCCATTCCTCCAGCACCAAGCTCTAACTATGTTGAGCATGTGCATACAGATAGACGCCTATGGTCAAGCAGTGTCAAGACCTCCGTGTCTGGAGTTACAGGCAGTTGTAGGCCACTTGCCATGGATGCTGGAAACTCAACTTGGTTCACTTTGTGAGCATCATGCCTTTGATCCAGCCTCCAACCCTTCCCTTTTTCTATGAAGACACTTCAGTTGTCCTGTTCTTGAGGCTCTTTTGCCAATAGTCAAACAGTTACTCTGATGAAAACAGTACTGGGTGTTATCATAGGCCAGTGAAACACTACCCCCCCCCCCCCCAAAAAAAAGTGATTTTTTTCGACTTTGTTTTGGTTTCATTTTCTCTGTGTAGCCTTGACTGTCATGGAACTCGATGTCATGCACCACACCGCCTGACCCTTAAAATACATATAACAAGCAGTTAATGTGGAAAAACATTTGTGTGAGGGTCAGTCAATCTCATATATTGACACAAAATAGCTTTTACCCCAAAGGAACTGAGTCACAGCTGACCCAGGAACACAGGTTCAGGTTGCTTCAAATGATACATGAAATTTTTTAGTCACATAACAGAACAAAGTCATCAGTCAAGCTTGGTGGCACATGCCCATTTGCCGAGCATTTGAGAGGTGAAGGCAAGATTGTGAATTCAAAATCATTTTTGGGCCCATATCAAAAATAAGGTCAGGCTGGGATATAGCACCCCTTTAAAAAAAAAAAGAGGGGCTCAATACTGCTCAGCAGTTAGGAGCACTGGCTACTTTTCCAGAGGTCCTGAGTTCAATTCCCAGCAACCACATGGTAGCTCATAACCATCTATAATGGCATCTGATTCCCTCTTCTAGGTGTGTGTGAAGACAGATGACTCATATACATAAAAATATTAAAAAAATTACCCGATAGTTAAAAACTATATTTTAGGTCATGTACTGACTGTGGTGGGTAAAAAAAAGTGAATTAAAAATAAAAATACATTTATTTCTCAAGACAGGGTTGTGTTTTGTTTTGTTTTTTTTTTGTATAGCCTTGGCTGTCCTGGACTTGCTTTGTAGAGCAGGCTGGCTTCAACTCAGTGATCTGCCTCTGCCTCTGCCTCCCTGAGTGCTGGGATTACATGCATATGCTACCATGCCTGGCTAGTATGTTTTTTTAAAATTAAAATAATCTGGCTCTGGAGAAATGGCTCAGCAGTTAAGAGCACTGGCTGTTCTTCAGAAGGACCCTGATTCTCTTTCCAGCACCCACATAGCAGCTCACAAACATATATAACTCCATTTCCAGGGGATTGGATATCCTCACACAGACATTCACGCATGAAACACCAATACACATAAAGTAAAAATTTAAAAATATTTAAAGTAAGTATTTTTGCTCCCCAGGAAGCATGTCAGCTGACTTACAACTGCTTGCACCTCCAATTCCAGGTATCTGAGGCTTCTGGACTGTACAGGCACCAGCACACATGTAACACACACACACACACAGACAATGACACACATCTTTAATTTCCGAATTCAGGGAGGCAGAGGCAGGGAGAGCTCTATGAACTGAAGGCCAGCCAGGCTGACATAGTAAGTTCCAGGACAGTCAAGGCTACATAAGAACCTGTCTCAAAAAAGAAAGTTTCATTCTGTATTGGAGTCTTAGGACCACGAAATAAAATTAAAGTGGGGGCATTATCACAGATTGTTATTTATTTGTTGCAACCACTTTATTTAAAAGAAAAAATGAGGAAAAAAATTTAGCTTTACCTTGATGACCTTGAGTTTCTGTGGTCAGGCATTGCAACTGCACAGCTTGCTGGCACACTGAATGTTTGAGGAAGGCTCATGCTAGTGGTGGTCATGAAGACCTACCCTGGACGCAGCCCAGGTTGCTTAAATGGTGGCTGCCCTGCTGAACGGCTACATGAACATGAGCAGTTCTCATACAGGAAGCCACAGAGAGAAGGCATATGTGATCATGTCATTTTTGTCTAAAACAGACAAAAGCAAATTTTTTAGAGAAGGAAACGGGTAAAAGCAAGCAAGTACTAGGTGTGGTGGCACCTGCCTTTAGTTTCAGTACTCCGGGAAGCAGAATCAGGTGCACCTGAGTTTGGAGGCCAGCCTGGGTGCAGGACAGCCAGGGCTCTGTTACAGACGGGTTTCAAAAAACCAAAAGCAAACCAAAACACACCCTTACTTTTAAGCAACAAATATGCCCTTTAAGACTCTGTATATCAACTGACATAAAAGATATTGCTGTTTCTTAAAAACTTTTGTTGCAGACAGGACTAATTCGTACTTAAACCTTAAGCCAGGCAGCCTAATTTATCCTGTCAACCCCACAAGAAGGTATTCCAATTTTCTTTTTTTTTGAGAAAGGGTTTCTCTGTGTAGCCCTGGCTGTCCTGGAACTCACCCTGTAGACCAGGCTGGCCCTGAACTGAGAGGTACCTGCCTCTGCCTCTCAAGTGTTAGGATTAAAGGCTTCTGCCACCACCACCCAGTGTTGCTACATTTTTCAACCCAAGTAATTAGTCATTTTGGGGAATGAGTTTACTTAACTCTGTGAATAAAATAATCCATGTAAGTTGTGGGGGAACATACACTGAAAATCACATTTCTCAATGGCACGCTTACTTAAAAAAAAGTTCTTAGTCTCAAGGCAGGCAAGAGGCCAGCCTGGTCTACAGCAAGTTCCACAGCAGTCAGGACAACACAGAATAACCTTGTCTTGAAAAACAAAGAAAAATTTAGTTAGTCTTTTTCACACTGCTGTTTAATTGTCAATGTAATTTTTTTGTACTCCCACAGGCTGAGGCAGGAAAGCTGCCTAGGAAAACTTTCAAAAAAAAAAAAAATTGGAGCGATGTCATTAGGTTAAGGTGCTGGCTGCATGATGCACTGGATCCAAGACCCACAAGCTGTGGAAGGTTTTCCACAAGCTGTCCTCTGGCCTCCAAATGCACAGCACGGCATGTTCACATACACACAACTAAATAAGTCAATGTAAAGAACTGCTTGCCATGTGGTCCTAGGTACTAGCACGGGAACAGGGACACACACACACTCAGATCACATCTAACCAGCAACTCGTGAACAGAAAAGTTGTTGCCAGGCCTGTCTTGAAAAACAAAAAAACCAAGACAAACAAAAAGAACAGAAATGTCTCAGTGGCATCACTTTATTGCTTATTAAGTTTTGATATTGGTATTTCCAAAGTTCATCTCATATCCTCTAGTAATGAATGCTCCTTGACAGAAGTGCTGATGGAATTGCTGCATTATTTTACTGCCTTTTATAATAATTCTTCACTGGCTGATGTTTCCAAGATGTGAAATGTGTAGTCAGATGGACAAAGCAATTAATTTCAAAAGGGGGAAAATTATCATTCTGACCCTATAAAACCTGGTACAAAGACATGGTAAGCCTCCCATGCTCAGATGCAGAACTGCCAAAGAAAACTATTTGCTTAAATGAAACACCTTCACTTTAACTGTATGAGCTATGGAAACTTGTATTTGTCTTCCATTGATAGAGCAATTTCTTGTTTTCTTCCTAAATACTTTAAGTGGGAATAACAAGATTAAGAGGAAAAAAAAAATCTGCACCAGTAAGAGAGGTGGAACACAAAGAGGTGAGCCATCAGACTGACCAGCATTCACTCAACAGTGAGAACCATGCCTTTGGCAGTGCCATCATGCTAGAGGCTCAGGTGGGTATGCTCCTATAAAACAGCCCCCTATTGTGCGGCTTTTTCTGACCTCATGCACAGGCCACGGTCACATGGCAGATGTCTAATGTTAACAGGATGCTGCTACATCTGGTGAGGAACATAGAACACAGTGTATTATAAAACCAAAGCCCAGCTGAGCATGGCTGAACGTATACAGAACCAGGACTCCAAAGGCTGACACAGGAGGATTGAGTTTGAGGCTAGCTTGGGTCAAGGAAGATGCTATCTTAATGCCAAAGCGAAAATAAAGGCTTTAAAAATTTATCTGATCGTAGGCAGGTCCATTTACTGGTGAGGGGGCACAATGTCAGTTCTCACCCACTTGGTGGTTGAACCTTATGTCCCACACCATGTGCCATGCAGGTGAATAAAGGGAATTCCCTTAAACAACAAAAATGATATCCTTATCAAGCTGCTTCCCAAGTAAAAAAACAAAACCAACCACACCTTCACATTCTGTGAGTTTCAGTATTTAACAAGTTATCAGCAAGATCTACTTTTATTATTCTAACTGCAGTGCACAGACAGCCATCACAGGCCACTTGGAAAACGGTTTACCTCTTTTCGTATTCTAACAGAGGGGGGAAACCATCCACTGTATAGCATCAATCCTTGACGTACACTGGGAAGGAGATGGCCAAGTCTTTTTACCAAACACATTCCCCAGTGCTGCTTACAAACCAAAGATAGCACATGATACCACTTCCCTTTAAACAGGGAGAAAAGGTCATTCTGGGGGAGTATCTTTGGACTCCGCATCAGTTTGTTCCACTTCATCTTCCATGATTCCTGGGATAGCAACAGGTATGTGGCTTTCGGCCTCTGCTGCTGGCACAATGACTTCATTTCTGGCCTCAGCAGCTTCACTTCTGGCCTTGTCTTCAGTGTTCCCGCTTTCAGGCGCTGTTTCACAGGTCTGCTCCTCTGGCAGCTTTTCAGTGTGGGGGTCACTACTGGCCTCTGTTGTATCTGCAGGGCCTCCCACTTCATCTAGGACTTCTTTATGCTCTGTGGCCGGTTCTCCTTCCCCCTCTACAGCCCTCACTGCTGCTGTAATCACCTCTGCTAATACTTCTGCAGCTACCTCCTCTGGTGTCTCCTTCTCCTCTCCTCCTACATTCTCATCTCCTTCTGTCTCAAGGTCAGCAGCAGTTTCATTGACAAAAGGATCCTCACCCTGGACAGAAAGGGAACACAGATCAGTGCCCCAGCCCAACAGCAGCCCAGCTTAGGAGGAGTTCTTGTTTTCAGGGCCAGAGTCTGCAAAGCAGCAGCCTACAAGCAGGAGACAGCAACCTTCAAAGTTCACAGATTAGATTAAGTTTGGTTGGGTAATTTTTATTTTTTGGTTTTTTTGAGACAGGGTTTCTTTGTGTAACAAGCCCTGGTTGTCCTGGACCCTCTTCATAGAGAAAGCTGACTTCAAACTCAGAGAGATCCAACTGCCTCTGCCTCCCAAGTGCTTGGATTAAAAGCATGAACCACCATGCCTGGCTTGGTTAGTTTATTTTTATTTATTGAGAATTTCTCATGAGTGGTCTCTGTCTTCCTCAAATTCATGGCCTACTATCTGTTAATTAACACACATATTTTGGTGTATTGAGGATTAAACCCAAGTCATCATATATGCTAAACAAGCGCTCCACCACCAGCACCACCCATGGAGCCTGTCTATGCTGTTTTCAGCCTACTGTTAACAATGGTCCTGGCCGGCCTCAAATTCAGTAATCCTCCTATCTGGCTCCCAAGTGCTATTATTACAGGTGTGTGCCACCACACAACCTTAGTACCTAATATTTCCTGTATAGTTTGACTTATTTCATTGTTTTGAGGCCAGGTCTTGCTATGCTGCCATGCTGATCTCAATTTCCTGGGCTGAACTGATTGATTCTCCCTTGGCTCCAGAGTAGCTACAACTATAGGCATGTCACTCTATCCAGCTTGCATGCTCTCTGAAGAGCACATGACCAGCACAGCTCAGTCCTTCAGAGCTCACAGTCTTGTCTTTTCTGTGTTGAGTGTGCATAGCATAATGCAGTTATCCCCCGAACAGCACTACAACCCAAGGTCACAGGTAAGGAACCAAGTCTCTAGAAACCCCCACTGTCACATATCTAACCCTCATGTGTTCTCATGTCTTTCCTTCTTTTTAAAACTCAGAAATGATGAACACTGCACCCTAACTACATTCTATACAAATCTTTCATCCCCAAAACTTTGTGGTCCACTAGATTCCCGAACACAAACCTTGAGGTATTTTTCCAGCATCTTCACTATATGTTTGTTGTTCAAAACGCTCTTAGCCACATGGAGACTTGTTTTCTTGAACTGTTCAGCAGCCAACTGCAAAGGCAACCAAAAGTAGGCTTTTAAAAGTAGCCAAGAGAACCCAGAGGACTAGCCGGGGTGTGTGGTGGTTAGTTTAACTGTCAACTTGACACAACCCAACCCTCCAGCTAAAGCCTCAGTGCTGTAGTGCCTGGATCAGGCTGGCCTGGTCAGTGGGGTGGCACCAGCTACTGGACCATGTGAGACAACTAGCTAAGCACTAAGCACACAGGCGCTCCTATACTGTACCACAACCTGATTTGCTAGTGAAACCCTTTTTCTGCTAAGTTGTCTTTCGTTAGGGTATTTTATCACTAAGCAATGAAACTGGAGGTTTGGGGGCCGGAGAAATGGCTCAGGGGTTAAGAGTGGTGACTGCTCTTCCAGAGGACCTGGGTTCAATTCGCAGAAACCACATGGTAGCTCTCAACTTTCTCTAAGTCCAGTTCCAGGGGATCTGGTACCTTTACACAGACAGACAAGGATGAAGGCAAAATATTAACGAACATAAAATAAATCAGAAAAAAAAGAAAGGAAGGAAGGAAAGAAAGGAACTAGGTCACTATGTCAAGTTTTCAAGACACACAACTGCCATCTTTATTTTGGAGGAAAATCTCAGAATGCCAAAAACCCCACAAAATTGAAGTACCAGACAGCCCCTGAAGGGAAAGCAGTGCAACCAAGTGGGAAGGTCATAAAACAAAAAGCAGGTATGACCATGTAAGACCGTGTACCATGTGTACTCAGTGAGACTATCTCCAAACCAACCAACCAACCAACAAAATCAAAACAACCCAAACAAAAAACAAACAAACCCCCAAACAACAAAATAAAAAGTTGTGTGGACTAAAGAGGGAAGGGCAAAGCTTTTGAGGTTACAGTGCCCTCACAGTAAGTCCTAGCAGCACCAGCTAAAACCTTACAGACTGGGCAAAGCATGCTGGTGCACAGCTTTGATACCAGCCCCTACTTAGCCGTCTCTCCAGCCATGTCTAAAAGCAGCTCACTGCTTCATGACTTCTCTTTTCATATACTAACCACTTGCTTGTAGATTGTTCTGCTGGTCTTGGAAGGCCCTAAAAGAACTGGAGAGACGTTCTTTGGCTAACAACACTTTTTGCTGTTGAAGAGGATCCAGGGTTGGTTCCTAGTAGCCACATGGAGTCTCTAAATACAGTTAAAGGGGATCTGGAGCTTTTCTGACATCCACGGGCACCAGTGTACAGTTATAACAATAAGTAACAGGTAAAACAATCATACAGCTAAAATAAAAATAAATCTAAAAAGAAAAAAGAAAAAAAAAAAAAAAAAAAAAAAAAAAAAGCAAGCAGTAAGAGATGAGATGGAGCCCAGGGGTGGTGGAGTTGTCCTTTAACCATAGCACTGGAAGGCAGAGGCAGGCGGATCTGTGGAATTCGGGGTGGGGAGCAGTATTGTCTTGATTGAGATGCTAACCCAGTAGCCAGCAATGCAGCCACACCCACTGTTTTGTTTCAGTAGCTGCTTTTGCAAATCGATAGCAGTCATGCCACACAGAGCAGATCAGATGTTCTGGGCCTACAGAACCTCCTAATGGCAGGGAACTGACTTCTTGCTCCCTTCAAAAAACAAACTCCAAGGACACTCAAGTCTCCTATCAAAAGGCCCGGTATTTGCAAAGGACCTAATGCATATGCTCCCTATATTTTAGCTGAGTTAGCCTAACATAACTAATGCTGCGCAAATGGCTATGATAAGGTATTGGTTGGGGAGCATTTAAAAGAATTGCAAATGCTTTCAATCCCCAGTTATTACAAACTGTGATTGTAGGATTTACAGGGGAAGATCAACGGTATTGCTCAGACTTTTTTTTTTTTTAAGTTTTTTTCGAGACAGGGTTTCTCTGTATAACAATCCTGGCTGTTCTGGACACTGTAGATCAGACTGATCTCGAACTCACAGAAATCTGCCTGCTTCTGCCTCCCTGAGTGCTGGGATTACAGATGTGCACCACCATGCCTGGCTTGATCAGACTTTTTTGTTGTTGCTGAAAAAACTAGCAATAACAAAACCTTGCTAATCCGCAGGCTAAACCTTTAGCCTCTGCCTCATCATAAGGGGAAGACAAAAAGGGAAGTTGGTCCTCAAGGCCACTGAACTCTCAATAGCTGTTAGCCTCACCTTACAGAAACCCAGCAACTGGGAAACTTGGTGTAATCTGTAGAAAACAGTTTCAATTTAGCTATTATATCCAGGCAATCCATGCACCAGTTTCTGTGTCTTTTATCCCTTTCTCTTTTTAAGAAACAGGGCCAGGCTAGGCGTGGAGGCATACACCGTTAATCCTTGGGAGGCAGAGGCAGGTAAATCTTTTGAGTTCTAGGCCAGCCTGTCTGAAACCAAGGAGAGAGAAAGAACAAGAGAATGAAAGCCTGCCTCTTAAATCAGCTTCCAAGTAGGTGGGAATACCAGGTACTTTCATTTTAGCAATCTGGAGTGAAGGTTGCAGGAAGATGACAGGCTTGCTGCAAGACCTGATAGCAACAAGAGCGTTCCTGATACAACACACAAGGGTCTAACCTCATTCAACCGGCAGCCAGCCGGCATCAAAACTATTTACCCTTCGATTATGGTTATGGTCCACAGAGTGCAGATGCCGCTGGAGAAGCTGGTGCTGGGCAGGAATCAGCATATCACAGGCCAAGCAGTGTGCAGCTTCAATCTTCTTGAAGAAATGTTCCTGGCCAATCCCTGGAATGGAACCAAACAAGCAGTTTTCTCCCTCCTCCCAGCAAGGTCCACATGGTCTCCTCTGGCCACCCTCCTGTATGTTTGTTCCCATAGGAGATCTGGCCCACTGTGAAGAACGATTTGTCGAAACATCATCCTTCCAGCTGTGTCTACACCAAGGAGAGAACCATCAGGTTGCTTCATACCATTCTCATAAGCTGTTATGCAGTTGTGTGTAGCTTTCAAAGAATCAAAAAAAATGCTATGTAAGGTACCAAGGATGAAAAGCAATCAATAGTTCTACTTGGCTGTAAAGCCTATGAACCACAACGAAGTTTAAAAGCTCAGTTATGTTCCCTGTCTTGGCGCCTACCATAGACGCCTCTGAAAGACTCCACTGAGAGATATTGAAGCGGAGGCCGAGACTCACAGCCAAAGAAGGGGGCAGATGGACTGGATGGGGGGGGGGGGGCTGGTGAACAGGACAGGAGCTCCAAAAGGAGGCCAGCAGAGACAAAACAAAACAAAACAAAAACAAAAACCCCAGCCAACCAACCAAACAAACAAAAAAACTGGGCCTTGGGGGCCCTGCAGCGGCTGATATCCCAACCAAGGTCCAAGCATGGAGAGGACCTAAAACTACTGCTCGGATACAGCCCATACAATACACTTAGTTTCCAAGTGGGTTCCCTAGTAAGGGGAGCAGGGTTGTCTCTGGCGTGAACTCAGTGGCAGCCTCTCTGATCACCTCCTCTTGGAGGGTGCAGCCTTGCCAGGCCACCAAAGAAAGACAATTCAGCCAGTCCTGATAATACATGACAGACTTGGGTCAGACAGAAGGGGAAGAGGACCTCCCCTATCAATGCACTAGGGGAGGGGCACAGGAGGAGAAGAGGAAGGGTGGATGGAATTGGGAGGAGTAGAGGGAGGGGGCAACAGCCAGGATACAAAGTGAATAAATTGTAACAAATTATAATAATTAATAAACAAAACAAAAACCACCCAGTTATGCAGCTGGTACCATGACAAAGGCCAGCCTGGTCTACCAAGAGTCTGGGACAGCCATAGCTATACAAACAAAACTTGCCTTCTGGCGTGCAGGTGTACATGGAGGCAGCTCTGCATACATAATAAATACATCTTAAAAAAACAAACAACCAAACCAAACAATAACAAACTCAAGTTATGTTATGTAAATATGTTTCTGTTTGAATCCTAGGTGTGGGATATGGGTCAGCCTTAGTTTACACAGCTTATAACAGCCTCTTGAGGCTTGGAGAGTGGTGTGTGGTCTTTGTCATCTGGAGTTAGTAGAATTCTAAGGACACTGGGCGAGTATACATACCAGAACCTAGAGAGAGGATGGAGTTTCCAGGAGAAGGACAGAGGAGGAAGGCATATCCTGGCGACTGAGATTGCTATTTTCACAAAGAACCTGATGAAACTAACCATCTAGAACTAAGTCAAAAGAAGTCTACATCTTCTTTCTCTTCTAACCTTTCTCTCCTACCTAGGGTTGGGGGTTTGGAAGGGAAGTAGAGGCTTAAAGAACTACAAATAAAGTAGAGCTATACAGACCTCTGCACTCCCCCCTTTTTTTTTTCTCCCTTTCTTTTTTCTTCTTCAATCAATTCATTTTATACGTATGGGCATTCTGTCTGTAATCACGTCTATGCAGAGAAGCCAAAAGAGCATTGGAGTCTCTGGAACTGGAGCCACAGAGGACTGTGAGCTGCTATGTGGTAATAAGAAACAAACTCAGGAGGCAGAGGCAGAGGCAGGTGGATCTCTGTTCCAGGACAGACACAGACAAAGACAGACAGAGACAGAGACACACCCACCCACCCACCCTTGTCCTGAAAAACAGGAAAGACTCAAACCTGAGTCCTCTGAAAGAGCAGCCAGCCTGCACTGAGTCATGTTCTGCACCTTTAAGAGCATGCAGAATAACTTGGACACTGGGTTCACAATTTACCTTTGAATGGATCTGGTTTGGGTTTAGGGCTCTCCTTCTCCAACAATTCCTGACGCCTCTTCTCAATTTTCTTATTCCTGTTTATGATGTACTCCTAGAAGCGTTGAAGAGACACCACCAAATGAAATGAGAACATAGCACTCTCGGCGTTTCTCAACTGCAGAGTGGGAGAAGGTGCTACTGTGGCAGCTTGATGGGAAAAACCTGCTGTGGTCAGAGCTATTATCATTTTGACACAGAAACATCAACAACAGCTTCAGTTTGTAAAAAGAAATTGGATGATTCCTCTTGACCCTTCCAAAGTTATTTAGAAACACTGCACACCCTTTACCTGGAGGAACTCCACTGTCTTGTCAGGCAGTTTGGTACTTATAAACCTCAACGTCTCTTTGTGAAATTTGCTTTGCAGATGTTTTTGAATTTCTTCATCTTCAAAGCTACGAAACTTGCATACAGAACAAGCAAACTGAATCCTAGAGAGAACACAGAAAGAAGTGGTAGTGCACAGACCACCAGCTCATCTTTGGGTACAGAAACGCAGTGGGCCAGCCTTGAAAACATTTCAGGAAAACTATTCCATCAGTTGTTTGACAATCTCTCTGGGCCAAAGGGAGAAGAGGAGACATTCACAGGTCTCCAGAAAGAGCTGATGAGAAACTATTAAAGAGTCATGGGGACAATCCCTGTTGCAATTCTATTCTGCGCTCTAACAATCCCTGTTTTTTTCTAAACAGGGTTTCTCTGTTTAGTCCTGGCTGTTCTCAAGCTTAAGAGATCTGCCTGCCTCTGCCTCCTTAGTGCTGGAATTAAAGGCATGTGATAGTATGTCCAACTCTCTCTTGACAATTTTAAATGTCTTTGAAATCCTTGTTCATTAGTACAGACACAAAAGATTAAAAAACAAGAGAGGAGGAAGAAAAAACAAAACAAAACAAAACAACCTAGGCACACGGCCAGATATAACTCACTCCCTTGGTACTTGGATGCTTTGAGTTCCACTCCCAATATCAAAGAAATAAAAGTCACCCCACTTTGAGTAGCATGGAAATAGACCCTGTCATTTAGAAATCACGTGGTATGAACTGTCCGTGAGATCAGAAGTCCTCCTCCACCTTGTTTCTGAGACAGGATCTCTCATCAAATAGTACACCGGATCCTTCGGTCTCATCCCCAACACTGCCAAGTTTCCAGATGTACATAGCTGTGCAAGACTTTTGTTGTAGGTGCTTTAGGTCCGCATCTCCCCAGACCAAATGGCTTTTTAAAAATTTCATTTATCAAGCGGGGCATGGTGGCGCATGCCTGCGAGTTCGAGGCCAGCTTGGTCTACAAGGTAAGTCCAGGACAGCCAGGGCTACACAGAGAAAATAAATAAACGAAATAACAAATTTCAATTATCGGGGGTGGGTGTGGGTGAGACATCTTTCACACACCTAAGTTGTATCTTCCATCAACCTGGCTAAGGTTTCTTTCTTTTTTAAAGATCTACTATGTATACAGTGTCCTGTCTGCATGTATGCTTGTAGGCCAGAAGAGGACACCAGATCTCATTATAGATGGTTGTGAGCCACCATGTGGTTGCTGAGGATTGAACTCAGGACCTTTGGAAGAGCAGCCTCTAAGCCACCTCTCCAGCTCCACTGCCCAAGATTTCTTGACAGCTGGAGTTACATCAAAACAAAATGTTGTGCATTACAGGGGAGCCTGGAAAGACAGATGGTGCCCAGGTGTGACCGCCTTCAGCTGTGATGTTTAACTAGGGCTGTCTCACCAAAGCCTCACCTGTCAGCTGCTCTGTCCCGCATCCTGTCTCTCCTCCTTTGCTTCTCCCGCCTCTTCTTCACATCCTCGTCCTCATCCTCTTTTTCTCCTGTAACAGAAAAGTCCCCTCGAGACACTGAGGAGCCTGCAGGAGGGGCCAGCTCCAGGGCCAAGTTGGATGCTGCCGCTCAGCAGCTACACCTTGTGCCCAGCTTCCACCTCTTATGGCAGGGCCAGGGTACCCCAGGCACTGAGGAGCTGGTAGAGGTTCCTGACGTACCAGGACCTTTGATGAGGACCCAGAGGAGTTGCCTCACTCCTCCCATGGCCTGATGGGCAGAGGCCCATCCCACTCATGGCCACCTACTCTGTTCTGTCCCAGCCTGCTTATACAATATAGCACTCTGTTGTTGGGTCTTCTCCCACGTCACTCAAAGAGCTGCAAATATCCCCACAGAGGGAGCAGCTGGAAGGCCTCAGGAAATAAAGAAAGCTGCACTGCCACCCTCCATCCCACCTCTAGGTGGGCTGTGGTGACCGTCCTGTTGGCCTCACCCAAACTAGGGACTCAGCAGGTCTGACAGTCCTTGCTGGCCCAATCTCTATCTTCAACTTACAAAACCAACAACCTTGGACTTTCCCAAGGCAGAGTGGGAAGCAATCCTAGAAACAAAAATGGGAAGAGACCAACTGGTCCTCCCATCCATTCCCTGGGGCTGGCATAGCTCCCAGGACAGTCCTGTGGCCAGCATCTCAGCATAAGACCACGCCAGATCCCCAGGCTCAGGGCCAGGGCTGGATGCTGAAAAAAGGTTGGATAAGCATCTGAACTGTAACCCCTACCCCTGATGCCAGTCCCGAGACTGTCCCACGAAGATGGCGACCGGCGTGCGCTGCTCAGAAGCCTCTCAAAAGGACGTGTGGGACTTTTGGCAAGAGGTCACTGCCTGAAACTATGACTGCTGTTTAATAGCAAAGTCATCCCGGTTGGGTAGCAGGACCTGTGCGCAACAAACATGTCACCTTTGCTTTAGCATTTACCCGGCTGCATGAGCTGCTGAATGCTAGGGGGTGGGGCGGGGTGATTCCAAGCTGTGGACAAAACTGTAATGTGTGGGCTGGAGGACACCTGAGGGTTAGCTAACCCGCGAACCTGGAAGGAGCCAAGGGCCTTCAGATTATAGGTGAGGAGGGGCTAGCCTATGATCCTTGAGGGTAACCATCTAGTCCAGGCCCACAGAACAGAGAGGAAGACAAGTAGCTCCTGGCTAAGCCTAAAGCCTTGCAGCTCAGGCTGATTCTCCAAGTCACCCTTGGGGTATAAGCTTTGTTGGGCTTTTGGGTTTCTGGCCCTACAACTGACAAGTCCTGTTTGTTCAGTGATAAACGCCTTGAGATATGGGCCTGCATGCACCTTACAGGCCACCCTCCCAAGACCAACCACAGTAGGCATTTTCTCTCTGTCCACAGGTACTGAAGCTGCCAGTATTTCTGGCAGAGGCCAGGGTACACAGACTGAGGCTCACAACTGAGGAAAAAAAAAAAAAAAAAAAGACAAAACAACCCCCTACTAGATGGTGGGTATAGAGACGATGGGCCAGAATGATGGAAAGAAAATGGAAATAGAAAAGGGGCCTCTTTTTCTCCAGACTGCCGAAATTCACTTTCCTATCACGGGCATCACAGAAACCCAGAGATGGGCTCCCCAACTCCTACGACTTGTACCCACTGAGGCAAAGGAACCCCTTTCAAGCAAATCCCCCACCAAACACTGGAGCCTAGCTTTGGAGTTAGTTCCCACAGTTAGGTCCACTGCACAGCTGCAATTCCTCTGCCATGAGCCATGAAGGTCTCCATGAAAGTCTGTTTTACTCAGAAGCTGGCTGGGAGCTGGGTAACGAGTGTGGGTCAGAGAGAGAAAGGCTGCAAAAGATACTGAGTGATGCCTACCTCTCTGCTTCCTGATGTCACAGAATTCATCCTCCTGAAAAAAGGCATATGCAATGTCAGGCAGTGAGGGAGACAGGTCCAGAGTTCTCGCTAAGCAGCCCAGGCCCTAATACCTAGCATGCTGTCTCACCATATGTTTTGGTCTGCTATGGTGCCGGGAGATGAGGCAGCTCTGGGGAAACCTCAGAACCATAGAGCAGAGCTCAAGTGCCCTGTTATAATTCATTGCCGTTACAAGACGATGAGGGTTTTTTTTTTTTTTTTCTTCTTCTACAGCCACCAACTTGGTTCTCTTCAAAGTGACAGAACCTGCCTGGTGGCAAAGACATACCATACAGTTCTGTACTACAGAACAAGAGCTCATCCATTGGCAGGGGAAATAGCTCCAGTCTGTGGCATTGTAATTCCAGCACCAACTGGAAACGGGCCTTCCCAAATTTCCAAGTGTGTCTTTAGTATTCTAACAAATTATGGTAAATACAGATCCTAGGATGACCTAAGCAGAACAAATGTCTTAAGCAGATCTAGAACTACAGATGTCCAGCCTTAAGAGCTAGGACAACTGAATGAGGAACAAGCAAGATTCTTCGAAAAGCTTCTCTTTTCTTCTCAGGAAAGAACACTTGGAGATCATGTTTTTTTTTTTTTTTTTTTTTTTTTAAAGATAGTTTCTCTGTGTAGCCTTGGCTGTCCTGGACTTGCTTTGTAGACCAGGCTGGCCTTGAACTTAAGAGATCTACCTGCTTTTGCTTCCCAGATCATGGCTTAAGCCCTGGACTCTATCTCCTGCCACCCCCCAAAGCAAAGCTATTTAAGATCCTGTTAGTCCACCCTCACCTGCTCTCCACCTGACCACCAGAAGTACAAAGAGGGAACTTTCTAACACCACGTGCAGGGAGTTAAGTCCCCTTCTCAGGAATGTGGTGTGGCCCAAGACTGGCCTCTGCTGCCACTCCCCAGTGACTGGCTATCAGCAGCAGCCTGCAGAGCCCCACAAATAGAAGGCTGATGGCTAGACTCAACACTGTGAGGCAAGGAAAAAGGTTTGGGAGCTTTTTAAGAAAGAGAACAGTGGATAATATCCCTGGGATGCCTGCTCTTTTCAGAAGGGAAATTGATCTAAGGGCAAGGAGGGAAAGTTGAGGGGGCAACTAGGAAGAGTGGTTGGGAGGAGAAACTGTGGTGGAGATTTAATGTGTGAGGGAAGAATTGAGAGAGAGAAAGAACGAGAACAGTTGTTACAGGATGCACACAAAAGATCAGTTTTTCCACGTGCGTGAGGAAGAGCGCTGAAGGACAGAAGAAAGCAAGCCCAGACAGAGAGAACCCACAAGGTGAACTCACCCCCCTGAAGTCTTCATCTGACCGGAAGTCACCAACTCCATCATCTGCCAGGCACAGGGACAGAAATATTAGCCCCTAGGGGGATGGCCTCCAGAGCATTCTCATTCTCCCAAGCTCAGAGACCAGACTGACAACAGATTCATCTTACGCCCACCTGGCTCAGTGATCCCCAGAGCATACCGTTTTCAGATAGATCTCCTTCACTGTCAGCACGGGCCAGTTTGGCATCAGGTTCTTCATACAGTGGAAACTGCTTCCGCTTCCTGCCCATGCTGTCTGGTCCAAAGCGCTCAAATCCCCTCCTTCTGGGCTATAGATACAAACACATGCATGTAGTACTAACCTGGGCCAGTAAGATGCCCCACAAATAAAGACCTGCATTTGTAAGAACAAAGGCAGGAAAAAGCCTTAAAGAAGCAAGTGACACTAGAGTTGGAGTCCAAAACTCATGTCATGCTTGAAGAAGCCAGACACACAAAGGTACATGTGATATTCTATTGCTATGGAATATCCACAACAGGCCAACTCAGGGATGGCCGATGAGCTGATGGAGACATCTAAAACTTACTGAAAGTGCAACTACACACTGGAAAGTAAGGGCATCTCACAGTACACGGAGGCACACAGCTTTATTTACCTCAATAAAGCTGTTAGGAAGGCGGGGGGGGGGGGGAGGCCTGACAGACCTCGGTGCACTTACCCAATCCCGAATCCGAGTCTGGGACCGGCCACATCCATAAGGTATGGTGTTACCAAAACCGCCCACCCCCTGCATCCCCACAATGCCGTAGTCAGGGGCCATGGACTGGGAGAAGAGAGAAGGCGGTGGCCTGTTGGTGGAGGGCCCACCTAGCCCACGTCCGCCCATGTAGTTCAGCTCATTCCAGGTAGTAGAGAGGGGCTCTGAGGAAGCTGAGGGTGGCATGAAGGGGTCGCTACGTATGAAGGTGCTGGAGTTGTTCCGGTCCTGGAAGCGGCCCTGGCCCTGGCCCCGGCCCCTGAAGAAGCCATCAAGGGAACCCCGTTCTGGGGCTGGGTCCCGACAGTCGTTGAATGTCCCACCAAAGCTACCGTTTCGGTCAGTCCCCAAGTCAAAGTCATAATCATAACTGTAGCCGGGGCGATAGGGATTATGCTCAGGCAAGCAGGGCCTGGAGCTGTAGGGTTCGTATGGCTGGAAGCGGAATGAGCTGCAAAGGAAGTACACACCTTGTCAGGAGCAGCCAGGAGCCTGGCTAAGCCACCCAGGGCACCTAACATCTAACTTTCGCTTAACTTTAAACTAAGATGACCCCCTCGCGTTCAAAACAAAACACCAAACCACCCGGTATCCACCTAACTGCCCAGGAGGCAAATCGGCCTAAGACCCTCATTCAGACATTGCTAACACAGAAAGAGCATGATGCCTTTAACAGATGAAGAAAGAATCTTGGGTTAACCTCAATCAGCCAACAGTTTAAGAAACCTTCAATGAGGTCCTATTGCAGGGACCCTCCCACTGGGGTCCAGCTCCTGTCTAACACAGTTGAGCAGGGAAGAGGTCTTTCCCAAAGAGCTGCTACCCATCCCATCTGACTCAACAAAGGGACTCCACCAAGAGAGGGTTAAGGCCATAATCACCTGTCTCGGTCCTGCATGCCCTCCCCACCGCTGCTGGTCCCACCCCTGCCTCCTTCCTTGGACAACATGTCCAAACGTTGATTGATCTTGGCAATGAGCGAGTCAGAGTTGTCAGCGCATGGCTCTGGGGCAAAAGAGGCCATATGCATGGCAGAACTCCCAACTGCTAGGCCACCATCACTGGCCTTGGTGGCCTCCCATGAGGCTGGGCCATAACTATAGGGTGCTCCTGCAGAGACACTGGTGTTCTGGGTGTTGTAGTAGTTGTAGTTTTCATAACCTATTAGAAGAAAGAGGAATCATGTTAGAACTCAGCACATGAGGCTGTGCATGACGTCCTTGTCTGCAGGGGAGCACTCTCTGCCCACCAGGAAGAAAAAAGTTATGGAACCAAGTACCACCAGCATCACACCACAACACACAAGTGATCAAAGACAAGTGGCCAGACTGTATTAGGTTTTCTTTAGGAGACAGTAGGATGGGACTAGAGAGACTGGCTGCTCTTCCAGAGGTCCTGAGTTCAATTCACAGCAACCACATGGGAACTGATGCCCTCTTCTGAGATGCAGGTGTACATGCAAACAGAGCATTCATACGTTAAAAAAAAAAAAAAAATTAAAAATTAAAATTTTGCTGGGCAGTGGCAGCACACGCCTTTAATCCCAGCACTTGGGAGGCAGAGGCCAGCCTGATCTAAAGAGCAAGCTCCAAGACAGCCCAGGCTACAAAGAGAAACCCTGTCTTGAAAACCCAAAGACAGCAGGACTTGTTTCCTAATCAAAGCCAGAGGTAGCCAAGAGCCTCAAAATAGCAGTTCACAGTACTGGCAAGGGTATTTGAAAGCTGCTGTTCCCACATTGTATCCACAATCCCTCTCTAACAAGCTCAAACTCCCCTCCAGGCTAGCCTAGCTCTGGCACTCCTAAGCACCCAGTGTCCAGCAACCTTTCTTCTGCTAGCCACAACAGAGGTGTATACACAGCCACATGGGGAGTAGGGACGTGTACCTCAGCCCCTTTGGATGGCTGTTTAAGAGCCTTACTTGCCCACCTTAAGATTCCTTTCAGGTCTTACCTTGCCAGCTGGCCATACCGCTTCCGTATGTACCTTAGGGAAAACAACACAGAAGCACTTCAATGCCAGAATTACAGCTTCCCTAAGGACAACCACCACCTCAATGCACTAGAAAACAGGGTGTGATGGTAGTGGCAGTGGTCCTTAGCATTTTCATGTTTTACAGAGTGAGTATAAGCATCAACAATTCTCTCCCCCGACAAGCCTGACTTCTCCCATGAAAACTATGGAAAGAAAGGTACAGAGTGGGCCCAGGATGGTGATCCACACTGCAATGCCAACTGAGAGGCCAGTGTGGCCTGGAGCCTCAGAGAGACCCCTACACAGGTTCAGTTCTCACCAGGAGCCAAACCTGGTGACTGGCAATCCTGCTAATATAGGACATTGATGGAAAATCACATTCTTAACCCAACAAGAGTGTATCACGTGGCAGAGGTTTCCTGAGATCTCCTCCTGGGACACATGGGGATATACAGAAAAGTGGCTTGCCCCCAATGGTATCAGGAATATGTTCCAGGATTGGAAAACAGGGGAAGACTTTGTTTCCTGGAATGGGTTGTGTGTGGGGCAGGTTCTAGCCTCAGAAAAGGGAAAAAAAAAGAAAAACCAAAACCACACACAACACACAAAAAAAAACCCCTAGGTCACATCCAGCCTTCCATCTATTTTTGTAATTCCAGCACTCTGGGAGGCAGAGGCAGGTGGAACTCAGTGAGTTCAAGGCCAGCCTGGTCTACAAAGCAGGTGTAGGGCAACCAAGGCTACACAAAGAAACCTTGTCTCAAAAAAACAAACAAACAAACAAAACACAACCCCTCCCCCCCAAGATTTTATCTCTCTAAATGGTCACAGGAAAAGTATGTCAAAACAAAAACATTCCATGACATGGCAAATATAATAGGAATGCACAATAGTACACACAAACTAACAGAGGTGGATGGGTACTACAGTCTGAAAGCACACTGGGTGGTGGTAGGTAGGGAGTGATACAGGCAGCATTCCACCACGAACCAGCGTCCACTCCCTTGCAGCACTCAAGCAACTATTCTTCCTTTATAGCCAGGAAGAAAGGGAAATTGTACCCTGGTAAGGACGTATGTGGGGCTCTACTACAGAAGGGCATGCAGCAGGGGAAACCAACAATGTAACCCATCAAGCAAGAACCACTTACCCTGGGTGTTGGCAGGTCCAGCACTCCAGGCCCCGTAGCCTATGAAAAAGATGTGTCAAGATTCTATCCAACAACCAAGAAAATGTGGGTTCTGATAACCTCAAAAGTCTAAAAGCAATTCCTTTTCAGAGGTGTCAACTTACAATGAGGGGATACAATCTAGAACACCTCCCTCCCTGAAGGACCCCCCCCAACCATCACATTCTAACTGGCTGAGCTGAGGTCAAAGCAGAAAATGAAGTAAGGGAACTGAGTTTGGAGGGCACAGGACACAACATTAGGCCATAGCGCTCACCCCTGGTCCAGCCAACACATAAGTGGAAAAACTCACAGACTGCTGCCAGAAATGCCACAAATGCAGGAGTCAGGCTGGTAATTTGGAAACATAAACCAAATACTCAATGCCCCCAGCTGTCAAGCCTTGGCCTGACCTACCAAGTCACCCTACAGCAACGTTTTGACAGGAAGGGGGGGCAGGGTTACACTCTTCATTTGTATTCCTGGAGCCAACAACACATAGCATAACACAGCAGCACACGCCCTGGCTGTCGAATGAATGACTTCATTTTGACAAAGTGAAAATTCTCCCTTTCTAGAATATTCCAAACCCACCACTAACTCAGTCCCTTCAATTCGTTCACAGAACAGGCACTCAGCAAGTACTGCCATGCCTAATTCCTACTTAGAGCAAAGGGAGCTGAAGCTCCTAAATTAGGGGACTTATCACCTGTCCTGCTGCTGTTTGTCCTCTCTTCTCAGCAGGCCATGGCTTCCTGCCCCTATCCCACCCACCCTGTTAAACAAGCAGCCCTTTTAACAGTAAGTGAATCAGCTCTGGGAACAAACTGTGTCTCTCTGAGACAGTAGTCTTTCTAATTGCCCTCAAGTAATCCTTGGGAGGAAGAAATCAAGGAGGCTGCATGTACTTTAACTCAGTCTGTAAAGTTATTGGCAGGTAGAAAGTGGGGTCTTCATAATGTTCCCTAACCCAACGGGCATAAAGCAGGGTTGTGCCAGGCTAAGAACAGAAGACACAGCTAGGATCTGAAAGGGAAAGAGCACTAGACCGCTGAAGATACCAGAGCACAAGTGCTCATCATACCGGAGGCTTCTCGGCCAAGTCCAGTTCCCGGGATCGTGTTACTCTACTGCCTCTCAATATCCCTCCCTCCCCGATTGGGCAGAAGCTGCTAACCACTCCCTGCGCCCACTCTGAACCCCATCCCACGTGTTCCAACTGTCTCTTGCAGATAAATTTCGGCAGAGTAAAGGCCTCCCAGGAGGCTCTCATTCTAGAGATTAAACGCTGGAGAAATGAGACCTAACTGCAAAAAGATGCCGAAAGGCATCGATGCCCCTTCCGCAGTTCCCTCGGTCCCCGCAGGCCACGGTAATGTCACTATGTTACAGTCTAGAATTCTTTTTTTTTTTTTGGTTTCGAGATAGGGTTTCTCTGTGTAGCCTTGGCTGTCCTGCACTCGCTTTGTAGACCAAGTTACAGTCCAGACTTGCAGTCCCTCAGTAAACTGAGACCCGGAGAGCGGCTGGTCCGTGGTCCTGATCGGAGGAAATACGTAGAACCTGCCTCTCAAAGTACGGCCCTTGGAGGAGTCCACTTCCCACGGTCGGCACACGCAGCGTACGCTGCAGAGACCCAGCCGGGTTACCCCGAGGGGCTGCACCGCGCCTGACCGCTCGCTGTCCGCGCACCTCGGGAAAGCGAGGCCGGGAGCACTGCTCTCTCGGGAAAGCGAGGCCGAGAGCACTGCTCTCTCGGGAAAGCGAGGCCCGGGGGCACTGCTCTCTCGGGAAGGCGAGGCCCGGGGCACTGCTCTCTC